CGAGGTCTTCTCAGGACCAGGCCGCTTAACTGCATCGTTGAGAAGGCGCGGCGTCCGAGCTGAGGGCTTGGACATATTGAATGATGTGAGCCTGCTGGAGAAGAAAAACCAGCAGCGCGTCCTCGCCCTGATTAGAAGCAGGAGGGTTGGCTGTCTGTGGTTCGGGCTGCCCTGTAATACTTGGAACACGGCGAGACGATGGGGTGGAACTGGCCCAGGGCCACTTCGGGACGAAGCCAAGTCTATCATGGGACCCCCGGGCCTTGGGGGAAAAGACGCCAAGAAAGTCAAGGAAGGAAATCAGTTGATGTGGTTTGTTGTGCGATGTTGCCGTACCGCGTCTAAAGCTGCGATCCCCTGGGCGATCGAGAACCATCGCGCGAGTCGTGTCTGGAAGGCCCCCGCTGTGAAAAAGCTCGTGAAACTGACTTCCTTTGGGGCCGAGGTTCTATCTCCCGCTTTTGTGCGCGTGGATTTCTGTCAGTGCGGAGAGGCTTGGAAAAAAAGAGTACGACCCTGTTATCCCATGGACTTGATCTCTCTCCAGCAGAGCGCAGATGTTTTATGTCAAATGGTGTATGTTCTCGTACAGGCTGCCGCCATGCCGTCTTGGAGGGTAAAGATTGTTCGGGGAATTGGAATACATGCTCAAGCCTATCCTAAAGAGCTGACTAAGGTGCTATCAGAAATAATTTATAAACGCCTTTTAAGCAGTCCACGTGTTAGATAAGGGAGATCTCCTGGCCTCACCAGACCAAACTGTAACTGTTTGCAGCCGCCCAAGGCGGCCGTCCGTCAGCTCGCGCCTCTAACCATGCAGCCTGCCGCGTTGCCACGCTGCGCGTCTGAAAAGGTTTTCTGGCCAAGGGGTGGGGTAGATCATGAGAGTGCGGGGCACAGCATTGATCGTTCTTCCCCGCTTCCGTTATCAACCCTCAAGGTTTTTGCTGCGCCATCCCGAACCCCGTCCTGCCTCCCCTCTCTCTCTCTCTCTCTCTCTCTCTCTCTCTCTCTCTCTCTCTCTCTCTCTCTTTTGACTTGGGGGAGATCTCCAGGCCTCGCCAGGCCAAAGTGTAACTGTTTGCAGCCGCCCAAGGCGGCTGTCCGTCAGCTCGCGCCTCTAACCTTGCAACCTGCCGCGTTGCCACGCTGCGCGTCTGAAGAGGTTTTCTGGCCAAGGGGTGGGGTAGATCATGTTTCTGATGGCCCCCGTCAGGCCAACCCCCGAGCCCCGTGCCCGCGTCTTACGTCTCCCCGAAAGAAGAACAAACCACATGCACATGAACTGTTGGCGCTCCGCGCAGACTTCTCGGATCCACGCCTGAGCCCCCTGGCGCCGCCCCTGGCGCGGTCCGCGCGCCAGGGAGGGGGGTCCAGCACGGACCAAAGAAATCCGCGCGGAACGCCAAACATTTATGTTTATGCGGTTTTTCTTTAGTTCGGGAATGCGTAGATAATTGCTCAGAAGGTTGGGGGACTCCCGAGTTTTCTTTAAAAGCCCGCCCCTTCTCATTTCCCCCTGGGCTCGCCGCCGAGAGTAGCGTTTTGTTCCGATGATTCGATCCCGATCTGCTTGAGGCGCCTTCATACTTCAATCATCGACTGCTTTTCTATATCCCTTCTTTTTTAGGGGGCGGGTGGATATGCAATCTGCTCTCTTCCGACCGATGAGCACGGAAATATTGGGGACAAAGACAGATCACAGATGGTGCCTCTTCTGAATCGGGTGTGCTGCCAGCGTCGCCGCGGACGTTGCTGATTCGAGAAAAACGTCGCCAACCCATCGGCAGCTGCACTCGTCATGTGGGGGATAGCCATCGTGAGGATGCGTCGCCCATTGATCGCCGATAGAGACCTGATAGCGCACCTCCCACATGGACGTTCGGATTCGCAATCGAGAGCCAATTGCCGATCTGCTGGCGATGTCACGCCGACATAAGCCCGATGCCCCCCCGTCTGAGCCGACCCCTCTTTTTATCGCTTCCCTTCTTGTCGGCTTTGGACGCCAGTCTGCTTTGGCATCGCGCATTGTTTTCCGCCCTTGGCATGCCACATTGTTTTCCGCCCTCAGGTATCGTACGGTTGGGTCGCGTCGTGTCGACCGACGGCGACCCCGCCGCCGGCGTTCAACGTTGGACGCCGCGGGCGACCCAGAATCGGTCGATGTTGAACGACCTGACGTTTCGGTACCGGCCGATTTTGAAAGGTTGAACGACCCGCGCGGTATGACACAAGCCCTCCGTACCCGCTTTTCCGAGACCATTTCGGGCGTGCTCATCCCTGGCGCGGGCACAACCCAGCTGCTACGCCTCTTCGCCACCCCGAGAAGGCAGGGACTGCGCGAGGCAGCCAGCATGAGGCATACAAACATATATATATATATATATATATATATATATATATATATATATATATATCAACACAAACCACAACATGCTCAGGAGCGAAGAACAGGCGTTTGTGCACATGTAAGTTTCGAGAGGACAGTCAATACGCCGAAATACAGGATCACTTTGGGTTCAGAAGAGGCTCCGGTTTCCTTGTTTTTTTTTCACATTCCTGTCATAACCTACTCGAAGCCGAGGTTGGCCGTGGCCAGAAAAAGTACCCTTTGTTCCCGATTCAAGTGGCTTACGCAATCCCGCCGACTCCTTGGATGCATTCGAGGATATTTGAGGAGCTGTTGGGGTTGCATCTCAGGTGCATCTTGGAGGGTTCGTTGTTGCATCTGGGGGCTTATTGGGAGGCTCTTGGAGGCTTCTTTGTGGCTTCTTGGTGGCCTCTTGGGAACCTTTTTAGGCATCTTGGGGGCGCCTCGGGGGCCTCTCGGGGGCTCGTGGGGCCATCTTAGATGTTCTTTCGCATTCGACCTCTTGTGCCACTCTTGGGGTCCTCCTGGTCCTCTCTAGGCTGTCTCGGGGGCCCCTGGGGCCGTCTTGGGACTCTCCTGGGCCGTCTTGGGGCTCCTCTGAGGAGCCTCACGGCCCGTCTTCGGACGATCTTGGGGGCTTCTTTGGCCGTCTTGGACGCAGCACAGACAAAGAAAGGCGAGCGTGCCTACAATGCATGTTTTCCGGCGAGGGCATCTATACACCACCATCGTGCCAGGCCAGGGCCGTCCTCGGCCCCAGGATGGTGTACAGACCCTTCTGGCCTCGGCCAGGAGGGCGTATACACCATGCCAGGGCCAGGATGGCCCTGGCCTGGCACGGTGGTGGTGTATAGATGCCTTCTGCGTATGTTTTCCTAATAGAGTGCGCCGACTGTCGTTCTTGAGGCCGTCTCGGCGGTCCTCTGGAGGCACTATTGGGTTGTCTTGGGGGCCTCGTGGGCCGTCTCGAAGCGATCTTGGACCGTCGTGCGGCCACCCTAGACCGTCTCGATGTTTTCTTGGATTGTCATGGCGCTCTGCTTGGGCCCTCTTGAGTCGTCCCGGGGCTCTTTTGAGGCTCCAGAAGTCCCTGGGGCGCGTTGACGAGCTCGTGCCCACACGGGGGGGGCTGGGAGTGAGTGGTTCGGCATCGTTTGACCAATCACCATCCCCATCCCCATCTCCATCCCCTTCGAGGCCCTTCCAAATTACCACCCCAGTTGGGAACACCCCTCGAAACTCGAGGGTAACGACCAATATTCCAATCTAGGGGGGTGAATCGGCCAGTGGGGCCCAGGCCACGCCGCTGGGGATGGGGATCGGTTAAACGATACTCAGTAGTATCTTGATATCGAAACTGCAAGCACACTGCGAGCAAAAAAACGTGTTCACCCGCCTTGTACGACATCCGATTCATAGTCATTCATCTGCTTCCCCCCCGTCCCGGATCCCGTCAGGGCTTTGCTGCGCAAGGCCATTCCAAGATGGGGGGAATTTCAGCATCGTGTTTGTGAAGGCCCTGAAGGGGTCTGACGGATGCCTCAAATATTCCAAGAGAGGAGACCCGAAGGCTTCTTGAGGGATTCATGGGGATTCCTTTCTGTATTTCTGAAGGACTCCTGGAGATTCTGATTCCGCTTCCTGAAGGACTCCTGCAGGTTCCTGGCAGATTGCTGTGGCTTCCTTAGAGATGCCAGGGCATTCGCGAGGATTCCTTGCGACTCTTGCAGGTTGTTGTTGGTGTCCTACAGGGTTCCTTGAGGTTCCCTGGGGTTCCCTCGGATTCCCGAAAGATTCCCAAGGATTCCTGAAGGATGTCTTACCGATTCTTAATCGAGCCCTGACGGATCCTTGGGATCCCCACGCATTTCTACTGGTTCCACGGGTGATGATGATGATGATGATGATGATGATGATGATGATGATGATGATGATGATGATGATGCTGATGCTGATGCTGATGCTGATGCTGATGCTGATGCTGATGCTGATGATGATGATGATGATGATGATGATGATGATGATGATGATGATGATGATGATGATGATGTTGAGGATGAGGATGAGGATGAGGATGATGATGAGAGGCCATACTTGGCTATCTGGGGCCCTTCTAGGGCCATCTTGGACGCTCTACCCCCTCGCGAATTCTTCCACCGAGACCCAGGGAGAGGGAGTGGGGGGAGAGGTACGCCTCTCCCCGTATAGGATGAAGGTGGTTGGAAACATGGATTCTAGAATTCTCCACCCCTCAGCAGCTGTTGTTGACTCATCTTCTTCTGTTTCTCGTCCTCTTCGTGTTTCTCTTCTTCTTCGTCTGGAATTCAGGTTTTCGAACGTTTCTGTTCTTCCCCTACTCCTAATCCTCCTCCTCATCCTCCTCCCCCTTCCCTCCTCCTAGCTCTCCTCCTCGCCCTCATGCTCCTTCTCCGCCTCCTCCTCCTCGCCCTATCTCCTCCTCTCCTCTCTCCGTCCTCTTCCCCCATCCCTCGTCATTACCCTGATCCCCCCCCCCCCGAGCCTTGCCTCCCCCCTTCCTCCTCCTGCCTCCCTCTTCCCTCTCGATCCCTCCCTCCCCCCCTCCATTCCTCTCTCCCTTCCTTCCTCCCTCCTCCTGCCCGTGCCCCAGGGGTGCCCCGCGGACCTCCACGACATCATGGCCCTGCGCCAGGCCGGCCGGAACGGTGCGTCCGTCGGGGGGCCCTCCGTCCTTGTCTCGTCCTCCTCCTCCCCCCCTCCTCGTGTTCCTCCTCCCCCTCTCCCTCCCCCTCCTCCTGTTCCTCCTCCTGCTACTCCTGCTTCTCCTCCTTCTCCTCCTCGCGGGCCCTCCGTCCTTGTCTTGTTCTCCTCGTCGTCGTCCTCCTCCTCCTCCTCCTTGTCCTTCTCCTTGTCCTCATGCTCTCCCTCCTCCTCCTCGGGGGACCGTCCGTCCTGGTCTCATCCTCCTCGTCCTCCTCCTCCTTATCCTTATCCTCCGTCTCCTCCTCCTCCTCCTCCTCCTCCTCCTTCTCGTCTGGGGGGGGCCATCCCTCCTTGTTTTGTCCTCCTCGTCCTTGTCCTCCTTGTCCTCCTTTTTCTTCTCCTCCTCCTTCTCATCCTCCTCCTCCTTCCCTCCTCCTTGTCTGGTGGCCCTCCAGCCTTGTTTTGCTTTCCTCCCCCCCCTCCTCCTCCTCCTCCTCCTCCTCCTCCTCCTCCTCCTCCTCCTCCTCCTCCTCCTTCTCCTTGTCCATGTCCTCCCCCTCCTCCTCGTCGGGGAGCCCTCCGTCCTTGTCTTGTCCTCCTCGTTATCCTCCCCGTGCCCTCCGTCCTTGTCTTGTTCTCCTCGCCCTCCTCATCCTCCCCGGCCTCCTCCTACTTCTCCTTGTTCTCCTTGTCCTCTTCGTCCCCTTCCTACTTGGACGGGATCATAGGATGTGTGCCCGAAACATGTATTCCAGCAAGTGTTGAGAACTACCCTCTCTCAACTGATTCCCTGTCCGCTGCTTTTTGGGGCCCTGGGGTACGGGAGCTGGCCAGCTTCTTTGCCCACGTTGCACGCGTGTTATTCACATACCGTGCTACTTCTCGCATTGTAGCAGATCGCCCAGTACACCTCGCATTGTCATTTCTAGTTGGTCGCGGAGTCGCCCGCTTCGACCTTTCGTGCGCTCACGAGGCTTCCTCACGTGCTCGCGGCGACTCTTCCCGCATCGTGCTCATGTTGGTCATCCACTTCGCCCCAGCAGGCGCCGTGTCTCTATGGGCCGGCGGGGGCAGCCAGGCCGAGCCGCCATCAGCGGTGCAGGAGACCCAGCAGATCTACGAGTATATGTAGGAGTACCAGAAGAACCGCGCTCCCCGCCCACCTGCTCTTCCCCTCGGGTACTCTCGAACTGTGTCCGAGATGTTCGGGGCCCTTGCGTCTTCATGACGATCGCATGTGAGCGTCGCCGTCAACGTCAGACCGTTGACCGCTTCGATTTCACAATGCCGGCACAGGGCCCCGAGCCATTCGCAGCTGTGCTGCGGAAGTCCGAGGGGGAAGAGGCAAAGGACGCATCGCTTTCATTGCGTCCGCGTGTGGTTGTAGACGACCGCGTCAAGTGTTCGCACGACCCGACGCTCGCATCACCGGCGTCGGCAAAGTGCCCCGAGTTGTCTGCAACTACGTCGCAGACGCCGGGGGGGGGGGGCGCGCGCAGGCAAGACCGGGAAAGCGGAGGAGGGTCGGGCAATCATGTTGCCATCATTTTTTGTTTGGGGGGGGGGGCGCTGCACAAGCTTAGGACTCTTCGTCGTCGGCTCTCGGGGGCATGATCTTCGATGTTACCTGCGCACTCCCCGCTTCTTGGCAGACTTGGGTCCCTATGCTCACTCCTTTTGATTATAGTGCAGTTCACAGTGCTCAGTGCAATGACAATACGACTCACGACGAGCTCTTTCGCCACTGCGTGGCAAAGTGTTCCGAGCGCAGCCAGCGCGTCGATCGCGCGACAGACGATCAAACCCACTGCGCCGATGAGAAGCACGCCAGGGACAGATGCCCACGCCGCTGGCGGGAGCCAGGGCCGTCGCACTTTCTCGACATCTGAATGGGGTTCCTTTCTGGATGAAAATCCATCGGAGTGGGCGCGGTCGCTGCCGTCAGCTGCGCGCGGCGGTAGCGGCGTCGCGAGAGACCTTCGCGCTTGGGGGCCCAAGCAGCAGGCTCGCGCGCCCTTCCAACGCTGGGCGCGGGAGGTAACTGCTTGGTCAGTGGCGGATCCAGACCCCGACGAGTTTCGCCCAGCGGCCTACGTTTTGTCTCGCTTGACCGGCATGGGTCGCCAGCGCGCGGACGATTGGTTGCCGGCTGTCCCCGCGCAAAGTGGTCATTTAAACGGCGACCCAGCGCCGCCCATCGCGCGCAGCTTGGCTGAACGGGGGGGCCAGTTCGGCGAGGGGGAGCGTGCTCGGGCGGCATCGGCTCTGATGAATGCGAACCAATTGCCGCGGGGGAGCATAGGCAGCCTTCTCGCCAGGTTCGACATCCTCCGCCATAGAGCGCAGCAGGTCGGTCAACTCATAATATTCCAGGAGGACTTCAGTTATTTCTGGCTGGGCGCGGCGCGCGTCGAACGCCCGGCTTCCTGATCCCGCAACGCCGCGACGTGGCCTGCCCGACGAAGGCGCCGCGGCTGGCGCGCATGATGGGCCAGGTGCAGATTTGGACACGTCTGGCGCAGCAGCCCTGCCGTGGGCGCTACTGGAAATAATTCCATTGGCAGGCGCTCCGTCCACGCGTTGCGGTGCGCGCCATTCGGCGGCGGCACATGCGCCTCGGTTGCCGCATCACGCCAGACTGCCTCGGGGAAGAGTCCAACGAGGTCTTCCAAGGCGTGGCTTGCAGCTTGGTGTGTTGCTGGCCCGGTCGCCGCAGGACGGGCGGGGTTGGGCCACACCGTCGGTCTGAAGGCCAGCAGGCTGGCCTGCACGAGTCGCAGTGTTCGGAAGGTCCCTCGCCTTCGTGTTAAGTCGGGCACGTTCCTCTACAGGAGGAATTGTCAAACATAGCTTGAAAGGTCTGGCGACGATGTTTCTAGTATGCTCAACTATTGTTGCATATCTGTTTGACAATTCTTAACTCGTCGGCCAAGATCCGCCAGCCCCTCCCCCCGACCAGGTGCATCGTGCACGTGTTTACCAAGTTGTCGACCTCTGCCTCGTCCTCCGCCCCGCCCCCCTCGTCATTGTTTTTCTCCCCGTCCTTGCTCGGAGAAGGAGGAGGAGGATGAGGAGCAGGAGGAGCAGGAAAAGGAGGAGGAGGGGGCCACGGAGGAGGCGAGGAGGAGGAGGAGGAGGAGGGGATGGATGAGGAGGAGGGGGAGGAGGAGGACGAGGAGGAACAGGAGGAGGAGAAGGAGGAGGAGGATGAGGAGGAGGAGGAGCGAGTCGGGTGAACGAGCAGGGGATCACGCAGCCCCCCCCTTCCCAGTCTCCTGGTGTTCCCAGAGGGTTGGTCCTGAGTGAAGAGGGCTCCTGCTTTCCGTCTCGCCCGCGTCGGTTCCCCAGTGGCCCCCCGAAGCATAACGCAGCACACAGTCTGCGTATCCGTGTTCTTGCTGTGGCGGGGATTTTGCGTGGTGGTTTTGTCCATGTCGTCCCCAGCAGCCCGAAAGGCCCAGGGCGACCAAGGGACACCAGAGCGACCCCCCCAAAATAAACAACTAGAACAAACATAGCTTCTTATGGCAAATATAAGACACATGAAGCAGAACAATAAGGACGCTAGAACGACCCCGTGGCAGCCCAAGGTCCGCCAAATACTTCTGATGTTCCAACCTACTTCAGCCTTGACCACCAGCGAAAAGCTCGAGCAGCACCCAGAGAGTGTCACAACTGGGCGGTGTTTCCACGCGTCGGGCCCCGAGGGGCAGGCACTGTTTCGATTCGATTCGGGGTGCTCGAACTTACTTCTGGGATGTAGTCTTTGAGTACGATGGCCACAACATAACCCAAGACTGGGCCACGGTGCCAAGAGATGGCCGTACTATCGCCCAAGGCCCGCCCACGACGGCTCCAGCACGAATCCTGGGCGGCCCATGTGGGGAGGGGCGGGCCACGCCAACGGTGGGACGATGAGTAGGCGTAGAAGTGGAAGGAGGGGAAGAAGACGGTCAAGGAATCAGAGGAATAGAACGAGGAGGACGGAGATGATGCGTATGATGTGGAGGAGGATGAGGCGAGCGAGTCGAGGAAGACAGGGAGGAGGAGGAGCAGTCGGAGGAATGGCAGGAGGGTGAGCAGCAGGCGGGGTAAGGAGGAAGAAACAGCAGCATGCGACTCGCGCCGTGTGTTTTCGACAAGAAACTCGAGCGCGCCCGCGAAGCTCGCGCGCGGTGTTCGTGCTTACGTATGCGCTCGCTCCCTCTTTACCCCATCCAATTTGCTCCTCTCGGAGGTTGATAATCTTCCTACCATGTCACGTCGATTAGCGAATTGGCCGTTTTCGGTTCGCGAGAGGGCGTCGCGGCCGTCATGTTTGCGGAGTCCAGGTCCGTCGGTTTCGGTCCCAGGCCGTTTCCCCTATAGGGAGGTTTGCTAAAGGGAGGTTTGTCCAGCGCCGAAGGGAAGCCGCGCTCGCCACGGCACACTGGCAAGCGGGCGGACCGCGCGAGTCACCTGCCTGCCGGCCTGCAGGAGACAGCGCGTGGGACTGCAGCGTGCCTGCGGGGGGCCTGCGCTGCAGCGGGCTGTCGGTCTCGGTCCCAGGCCGTTTCCACGCAAGGGTGGCTTACGAAAGGCGGGGCTTGTCCACCGCCGATCCTCGCGCTCACCGTCCACGTCCCCGCACGCCGGCGCCCGCTGCGCGCGGGCAGGCCTCCAAGTCCGGGCAGAGGGTCACCCTGCTGCTGACGAACCGCAGGAGGAGCCCGCGTGGGCGGCGGGTCGTGCGGGGCTGGGGCGGGGAGGATTTTTTCAGTCGGGCTGCTGGCACGCCGCAGGATGAGCCCGCGTGCCACCGCCCACCAAACCAGCCCCAGCCCTGCCCGAAGGCCCCGCCCTCCACTTCCAGTGGGGGGGGGTCGGGGAACATGGGAAAGCCCATACGTGCGAACAGGGGAACAAAAAGTCACGTAAACATAAAGGCTCGGAGGTCGGCGCGGATTTCTCGGATCGGCGCTGGACCTCCCTCCCTGGCGCGCGGAGCGCGCCAGGCGCGGCGCCGGAGGCGCCGCCGGTGGGCCCCAGCTCCGATCCGAGAAATCCGCGCAGACCTCCGGGCTTTTATGCTTATGTGACTGTTTGTTCCCCTCGTGAAGCCCGTGCCCCCCCCCAACCCGAAACGCGGGTCTTCGGGCTGGGTTTCGGGGTGAAATCCGCGCGGACCTCCGAGCTTTTATGTTTGTGTGGCTTTTTGTTCCCCTCGTGAAGCCCGTGTGGGGGGCTACATGCGAACCCCACCCCCCTACCCCCCACGATTTTTGAGGGGGAGGTTGGGGTTCACTTCGCTCGGGAGCTCCCGAACGAAGTGAACCCCATCCTCCCCCTCAGAATTCGTGGGGGGTAGGGGCAGGGAGCGCACGTGGCCCGCTACCGTGCCCCCCCCCAAACCCGAAACGCGGGTCTTCGGGCTGGGTGTTGGGGTGGCTTGGTGGGGAGAGGCGGCGCGGGGAGCGCGTCGGGCGGGGCGAGGGCGAGGGTGATCTCGAGTCGGGCGTGTCCCTCCACAGGAGGAGTATTCAAAGATAGTTTAGAAGTAGTCACGGGGCGATTTCTCTATTATTATGAGTATGATGATTCGTATAATTACTTGTTTTATTTGTAGTGGTAGTAATAACAGGTTTACTAGTATTAGTATTAGTGTTAGTATTATTCTGACTCTTACTACTAGTATCCTTACTATCATATCTTTTGTGGAACAAATAAAGGAACCATCTTCGGTCATTTCATTAATTGATGTTTGTTTTCATCCAGAATCCGCCTGTAGGAGGACGCGCCCGAGCTCAGGAACGCTCCAGCGCGCTCCGGAACGCCCTCACGCTCACGGAGCGTTCCCGAACGCTCTGGGAAGGCCATGGCGCCCGAGGCATCTTCCAGAGCCGCGGGATCTCAGAGATTCTCGATTCGTCCTTGTCCGATGTAGCTCTCGTCCCGGCTCCGTCCTAGGAGAAAAGGAGAGCGGTGAGCGCAGGGGCAGAGTTGCACAGCCAAGACACTGAAGTAAGCACCGCTTTGGGTTCGCTGTTCCTTAGATAGTTATGTGGATGTTCCTCTAGCCTTCGTGCACACGGACTCTTCTCGTGCTAAGCAGGGGCTCCGTTCCTAGTCTAGCGTTCCTTGGTGTAGCAGCACGATTGTAAGAGCAGAGGAGCCACAACGGAAGCCCCGCTCGGAGTGAGAGGCGAGGCGCGTGCGCCCACGCGAGCCCAGCTCAGGACGCACGCGCGTCGGCTAAGGCGGGCGAGTGCCGGCGCGCTGATACTCAAAGTCTTCGTCTTATCATGGATTTCTCGCCATCGTGGAAGACGGGACCTGAGGGGCACAGGTCCTGAGGTCGTTTGCCATGGCTCTCGCAGCCTTCCGCGGGCCCCAGGACCGTCAGAGAACGACTCAGGACGAAGAACTCGTCTTGGGGGAAGGCACCAGGGTCCAGGACGTGTTTCTTTCAGAATCCGCTTCCTCCATAAGTACTGCATTTGCTTTCCCTCGCGCGGGGTGTCCCACGAGCAAAACAAGTGCCAAAGGGGGGCTGCTGGAGGAGTGCGAAGGCCCGAGATGGGCCCTTGGACGGCGAAAGAGGGCCCTGAGGGGGCCCGCCAGGCCCCGAGATGCACTGAGAAGGCTCCAAGATGACCCAACCAGGAGGGCCCAAGCTGGCTGGAAGATAGCCCCACAAGGCCACAAAAGGGCCCGAACACAGGCCAAGAGAGCCCCAACGCCATTCCGAGAGAGTGCCGGCGGTTCCAGGACGACCCCGAGACGGCTCAACGTGGCCCAGGAGGGCTCCACGAGGAGCCTCGGGCGGCGAAAGACCGTTGACATTCTCGGAATGCCCTGCGCATTTTGTGTGCACGTCTGCCATGCCGAATGTGGAGTTACAGGTGACTCCAAGCAGCGGCCGTCAGATAACGCAAATAACTTTCAGGTGTCCAGAAGCTCCTCAACAGATGCCCAGAATGGCGCAGCCCAAGAGGGCCGCAGTAGGCCCTGAGGTGTCCAAGCGGGCTTGAGATAGCCCCAAGACCACCCCAAGTTGCGCCAGAAGCGCTCACATGTATTTTGCAAGGCCCCCGAGATGGCCCCGCCAGAGCCGGAGAGGGCTCAGGACGGCTTAATGCGGCCCTCAAAGGCTACAGGAATGCTTCAAGAGGATCACCAGACCGCCCAAGTCAGTCAAACGGGTACGTAATTCCGATAATTGATTGGGAAGGCAGTATACGGCCAGTGCCGACTCTGAAGGAAGGAGGACGACGACCACGACGGCGGCGTCGGCGGCGACGACGATGCTGACGTGGGGTAGAGGCCTACCGACGCGCCGGTAGGCCTCTGGGGGACAGTTTTGGGGCCTCTTTGGAGCATCTTGGAGGCCTCTTGAGAGCCTCACGGGAGACCCTTCGGGCGTCCCGGGGGCCTCTTGTGGCCTCATGGGGGCCTTTGGGGGACCTCTTGGGGTTCGTTCGGGCTCCTGTGTGGAAATCCTCTTGGAGCCGGTTTGGGACCCTCTGGGGCCGTCTGGGAGGCCTTCAGGGCCGTCTTGGGGCCCTGTTGGGTCGTTTTCGCCGTCTTTGACACCTCCTGGGGGCCTCTAGTGCCGGTCTTGGTGGCATCTTGGCCGTCTTGGGACGTCGAGACGCTGAAAAGGGCCAGAACGCCAGAATCTCCCAATGATTAAAGTTTGCCTGTTGGGGCCCTCTTGGTGTGCTCTTGGAGGCCTCTTCGTGCGTCTTGGCAGACGCTCGGGCTGTGAGGAGGTCATCTCTGGCGTCTTGGACCGGTTGCTCGGCGATTCGGGGCCCTCTTGGACCCTCTTGAGGGCCTCTTGGGCTGTCTTGGGGCCTTTTCGGGCCCCAGGACCCTCTGGGGGAGGATGGCCTTCTGGCCCGGGACCCCCCCGTGACCCCCCCGAGGGGGACCCCCCGTAAAAAAGTGAACGCCCCAGGGGTCCGTTCCCGTTCCCGTTCCCGTTCCCGCTCTCTCTCTCTTTCTCTTGTTCTCTCTCTCTCTCTCTTTCTCCCTCTGTCTCTCTCTCTCTCTCTCTCTCTTTCTCGCCCTCTCTCTCTTTCTCGCCCTCTCTCTCTTTCTCTTTCTCTTTTTTTTTTCTCTCTCTCTCTCTCTCTTTCTCTCTCTCTCTCTCTATTTCCCCTTCCCGCTCTCTCTCTCTCTCTCGCGTCCAGGGGCTCCCTGGGACCGAGATCGAAAATCCGCATATCCCCAAATCTTGCAAAATCCATAAGAATATCAATAATTGCAGGTCCCTTCCACCCTGAAAAGGGGGATCAAGAGGGAGGCCCCAGAAAGGCTGCGGACGCTTGGAGGCTTGTTGGGCTCTCCTGAGAGGCCTCGCGGGGGCCTTTTAGAAACATGTTTCAGGTTTCTTGTGGCCATTTGGGGGGTTTCTTGGGTACGTCAGGGAGGATGTCTTGGGGGTCTCCTGGAGAGTTCGCTGACGGTCTCGTAAGGGATCTGTCAGACGCCTACGGGGAATCATCGCCGCCCCTTGCCTTTTGGAAACGCCTAGGCGGCCAAGCGTTGGGGCAAAGTTTGGCCAAGGTGTTGGAGCTTGTGTTTCCCCAGCCGAAATGTGGCCATCTCGAGTCCGTCTTGGAGGCCATGCTGGCCGTCCTGGAGGCCATACTGGACCATCGCCATCTTGGAGGCAAACTTATCCGTCTTGGAGGCAATATTGGACGTCTCCCGCGTTCCTATTCTTTTTATTCGTCCTCCTCTTCTTCCTCCTCCTCCTCCTCGTCTTCCTCCTCTTCTTCCTCCTCTTCTTCCTCCTCTTCTTCCTCCTCTTCCTCCTCCTCCTCCCTCCTCCCTCCCTCCCTCCTCCCTCCCTCCTCCTCCCTCCTCCTCCTCCCTTCTCCCCCTCCCTCCTGCTCCCTCCTCCTCCCTCCTCCCTCCCTTCTCCTCCTCCCTTCCTCCCTTTCCTCCTTCCTCCCTCCTCCTCCTCCTCCCTCCCTCCCTCCTTCTCTCTCCTCCTCTCTCCTCCTCCCTCCTCCTTTTTCTCTCTTACTCCTCCTCCTCCTCCCTCCCCTCCTCCTCCCTCCTCCTCTCCTCCTCCTCCCCCTCCTCCCTCCTCCCTCCGCCTCTCTCCTCCTCCCTCCTCCCTCCCCCTCCTCCTCCCTTCTCCCTCCCTCCCTCCTCCCCTTGTATCTTCTGGAAGTGGCACGCCGGGCGGCGGGAACGGGAACGGGAACGGGAACGGACCCCTGGGGCGTTCGCGCGCCTTTACGGGGACCCCCCCCGTGGAGGGGGGATGAAGGGCCTCTTGGCGTTCAGGAAACTTGTCCCCCCCCCATAAAGCCCCATAGAGTCCTCATCCTCGTCCTCCTTTCTCCGTAGCAATTCTGGTTCAAGCCATGTTGGCTCAAGTCCTGAGCAAAAGCGGTCAGGTTTGAGCGTGGCAAGAGGGAGATGCGCCCCCACTTGCGATCCCTGAGTCCCGTGTTCAGGAAACTGTGCGAGCTCCTGTCGGAGCATCGGTAATGCAATTTTCTGGTACTAGCGGGCGCGGCGTCGGTTCCTCTGAGATCCTGGAGGAGCCCATGGGTAAGCAGGCTGCAAAAGAGTTTCGTCTCTTGTGTGTCGTACAGGTACAGGTGGAATTGGACGTCCAGGACTTTCTGTTTCAACTGCAACGCCACTCTCGCCCCGCTCGAGATGCCGTGGCGCGATGCGGTTCAGGGAGTGTGGGCCCAAGGAGGTGGCGGCCATCTCGTGGCTCAGCAGCCGCCAGCGGTCCCTCCAGGCGAGCGGCAGCGGGGGCCCAAGCCGCAGGCCCTCTCTGGGCACCGCCGGTCCACGCCTCCGCCTCGGGGGGCGCCTGCGGTGGATGGCGGCCTCGCGACGGTCGACCTGGCGCAGCTCAAGGAGCGGCTTGCGGGCTCGGCGGCTGCGCAGGAGCTCCAGGCGCTGGAGTGCGCCATTTTGCCCCAATGGCCACCGCAGGAGGTCGAGCCTGCGCGGCCGACACTGCTGGAGGCTCAGGTCTCGGCCAAGGGCGTGGTTTGTCGCCGCGCCGAGGCGTGCCTTGGGCAGTGCGTGGCCAAGGAGGACGAGGCCAAGCTGCGGTTCGAAGAGTGCCGCGCGGCCACGGCGCAGGCAGCGGAGTCGACGGTGCAGGCCAACTTGGCGCGGCAGGCGGAGCTGCCGCTGGAGCTCGATCGGGCGGGAGGTGGTCGGCCTCAATATGTCCCCCTTGCTCCGCGCGGAGGCGGCGGACACGGTCGACATCGTCGACGGGGGCCTTCTCGACCTGTCGGAGTTGGAGGTTGAGGAGTCGGACAAGCAGCGCTGGCAGGGTATCAAAACCAACATGGGCAAAGACATCCGCGCGGCCATCCGATCGGCGATCGGCCCCGGCGCGGAGAAGATCCAGACCCTGCGCCAGGGGGCCCGGGAGAAGAGAGAGCGCCGCGCCTCCAAGCGGCCGCGGCGCGATGAGCTTGCGCCGCGCCCCGCGCCCCCAGGGGCCGAGGCTGGGGGCGCCCAGGCGGCGGCCGCTCCAGCGCAGCCTACTGGCGCTGCTGTTCCTCCGGGCCAGTCTTCTGCCGACGCCGACGGCAGCGGCGCGCCAGCTGGAGGCGCGGCCAGCGGAGGCGGCAGCGCAGCGGCGGGCGCGGGAGGCGGAGCTCCCGCAGCAGGGCAAACGGCGGCAGCGTCGGCAGCGGCCCGACAGCGCGCGGCCCAGACACGCGTTTGACCTCGACAAGTGGACGGGCTCACCGCCGCCGCGCATTTTCCCCCCACCGCGGTCAGATCCTGACCAAGCCAGAAGGGACTTCGTCACCTTGATGTCTGGCCGGGGCGATCGCTGGATCTGGAACCTGGAGGGGCGGGCCGATTTAGACATGCCGTCTTGGATGGATAGGTGTGAGTCGTGGCTCCATGAAGTACTGCGGCAGCCTGGGAAGGCAGTGCTCAGGCAAGGTTTTTGCGTGGGGGGGCAGCCCAGTGCGTCGCGATAGCCCTTGAGGTTGCGTCGATGAAGCCGTTCGAGAAGCGCGCCTCTCGGCACGGGCCCAAAGCAGGGGTCGGCGCAGCAGGTTCATCGCCATGGCGCGGCCATTGACGCACGCGGTCTGGCAACCTTTTGCTGAGCACCACTGGGCCTAGTTGCAGAGCGGCTTCTTCTCCGGCTTTGACTTCGCAAGGTGGGCCTTCGGCTCTCGTGGAGGTCGTTGGCGGCGCTGGTGCGCCCTCTGAGTTCGACGGCCGGACGGAGCTCAGGATTCTCTCGTGCAACTCTTACGCCTGGCCCACGGGCCTCAAGGGCGGTCCAGGGAGGTCAAACGCGCGCATCCGACGCTGTCTTTTTTTTCCCGAGGCACCGCCTGGACCTGCAGCAGTTTGCTGGGCCTCGGTCTGGGCCTACAAGGCGGGCCATCAGTCACCGTTCGTGGCGGCGGCCAAGACAGGCGAGGGTGAGCGTGAGACATCTGGGGGCACTGCGACTTTGGTCAAGGCGCACTCTGGCTCGGCAGATTATGAGCAGTGCAACGTGTCGCGCAGGCTGGCTGGGCGGAGAGTTGCAGCTTCCAGGAGGAACCGAGTCCTGTTGGTGTCCGTGCACGGGCGCGCCACCCTCGGCCTTGCGGGGGGCAACTTGGACTTCGTCGACCAGGTCAGCGCATTTTTGGCAGAGGCTGGCATTCCCTTCGTTATCGCTGGCGTCAATCTCAGTGGACTGGCCATCTCGGCGCCAGCATCGTCAGGCCAGCGGGCCCAGCTTGCCATGAAAGGTGCTACGATTGTTGCGTCATCAGCTCCTGCTTGGACCATGGACTACTGCGTCGGCCAGTGCCAGGCGACCGGGGGCCCCCGTCGGCCCCGATCTGGCTATAGAGCTCACGCTGCGGTGCCTGGCTGGCCTGGCCAAAGTCTGGAAGCATATTGTTCCTCGGCCTTTCCCTCTGCGAGAAGGAGTTTTTTTTTCGGGCTCCTGGGACGGCTCAAATTTCCTGGACCTGGACCCTCAGGTTGCTGTTGCGCGCTGGTTTGACGCAGCTGAGAAGGCCCTCCGCGAGGTCCACGGAATCCAGGACCGCAAACTTATGGGCCGATCTCGAGGCTGCAAGCTGCAGCTAGTGCCGCTCCAAGCGGCTTGGGGCCAAGAGCTGCACTTGCGCTCCAAGCTACGAGCGCGCAGGTTGCTTTCTCTTGGGCGCTTGGCCCTGCCTTTTTTTGAAAGGTCGCGAGGCGCAGCAAGTGCAATCCGCGGCAGCTCCCCTCCAGGATTTGCCCCCGTCGGCTCTCGTGGAAGGTTTTCGCGACCTGGTCCCAGCTTCTCTTTTTGAGGGGCTGAGCAAGCCCGATCGTCGGGGGCGTTTGGCGGATATGTTGCAAGACGAAGTCACTCGCAGGGTGAAGCAGGAGACGGCTGATGGGGGTCGACAGAAGTGGAGGTCCTGGGCCCAGTCGTCTGTCGTCGAGCGGGGGCCTCGGGCTGCGCGCAAGTTCCGTAAAAGAGGCCCCGCCCCTTCCGCCCCTGCCTGTTTTTGCCGACGCTGTTGATGTGGAAGGGGAGGGTGGACTGTCTTCTCGACCGCCCCCTCTGGTCGGGCAAGAAGCCTTCGACCAGACGCTCAAGCAGCGGCTCCCCATTCGGAGCAATCCAGCCAGGGAGATGGAGAAAAACCCGCTGAGATGGCCTGTCCGGAGCGACCTCGCGGACATCACGGTAGACCCGGCCCTTGCGGCGGCGGCGATTTTTTCGCCGTCCCCTGGTCTGGGCTGGGACCCTTTCAATCCCAGGCTGCTCCTTCAGTTGCCCAGGCCTCTGGCGGTCCAGTCTTTCGTGGACATCATCAATGCTTGGGAAAGGTGGCCTTCAATAGGCCCAGCGTGGCTGGTCCTCATTGTCTTTTTAGACAAGGCCTCAGGTGGAGTGCGACCCATGGGGTTGCTGCCCATGTGGGCTAGGCTCTGGAGCCGCATCCGTCAAAAGCTGTGCTCGGAGTGGGGGCGCTCTTTGGACGTTTGGTTTTTTTGTTGAGTGAGAACGGGCACAGCCTGCGACAGGAGCGCCTGGGTGCACAACGCACTAGCCGCGCATGCGAGGATGGTCCGAGGCCTGGAGACTTGCACCTTTTCTTTTGACCCCTGCAAGTTTTATGAGCGCATATCACGGCAGGGACTGCGATCAGCAACGGAAAATCCAGATTGGAATGGCCTCCGGCCAGTGCCGCCGATCCGGGGCGCTCCGGATGATGATGATGATGATGATGATGATGATGATGATGATGATGATGATGATGATGATGATGATGATGATGATGATGATGGTGATGATGATGATGACGATGCTGATGAAGCTGATGATGATGATGTTGATGATGATGGTGGTGATGATGATGATGACGATGACGACGATGCTGGCGATGACGATGACGATGATGATGATGATGATGATGATGACGATAATGCTGATGATGATGCTGCTGATGACGATGATGATGATAATGATGATGATGATTATGATGACGACGATGATGATGATGATGATGATGATGATGCTGGTGATGATGCTGGTGGTGGTGTTGGGTGTGGCGATGCTGATGATGATGTTGATGAGGATGATGATGATGATGATGATGATGATGATGATGATGGTGATGATGATGATGATGATGATGATGATGATGATGATGCTGATGATGATGCTTTAATAGTCGACTCCCAGGAAAAGATGGGAAAACGTTGGAAGTGGGGGGGAATATGAAAACCCAGAAGATATCAGAGCATATGTCCGAGCCTGGACTTCATACATGATCACCGCCTGGAGGGTCAATTTTCGGGGACCTGCAGGAGGTGGATATGGACACTTTCGGTCCCCTGGGGGCCAAACTGTATCCATACCCACCGCCCGCTGGCGCACCAGGACGTCGGTTCCCCGGCGGTGGATATGGACAAGTCCCCGCCTCGCACTTGTACATATTCCCCTCTTCCACAGTTTCTAGGAAGGGCGGGGGAAAACAATTAGAGGTCCTCATCCTCCTCCTCCTCCTCCTCCTCCTTCCTCATCCTCCTCATCCTCCTCCTCCTCCCGGACGAGGGGGGGGCAAAGGAAACAGAGGTGGCTCCGTACAACTGTTCGGGACGCCCTCGCCCCCCGCACGGCCTTGGCCTGGCCCGGGCGCCCAGGACTGGGGAGCTCTTCGTCAATCTCCTGGACCTGGCTGGCGTTACCATCGCCAAGGACAAGATTTGTTTTGCGGTTGAGGGGAGAGAGGGAGAGGAGGGGGAGAAAAGGGGAGGGCGGTGACGATGAGAAGTTGGAGGATCAGGAGGAGGAAGAGGAGGAGGAGGAGGAGGAGGAGGAGAAGGGGATGGGAAACAGGGATAGGAGGAGACGAAATAGGAGGACGGGGAGGACGGGTGGCAGCGCGCGAGGGACCACGTTGCACATCAGTGCGACGTTGCCATGAGTACGCATGAAAACCCCACATGCGCGTCTCATGTTTTTGCTTGAGCGGCACGTCAGGCTGCGAAGCCACCGGTAATTCGTCGGCATGATGTCGGCCCACCTTGGTCTGTATTTCGGCCGCTAGGAGTTCACGGCCTGTATATAGATGTGTGTGAAGCGCTCTAGTGACCATCAGCTGCTTGCAGCGTGTGGACTACTGTCGTGCGCATTCAACAACAGGCGGGCCCCGCACGAGAGGTCACTCTTGCCAGGGCCACTCTTGCGTGCAGCCAAGAGTTGCCTCCTGAACGAGGAGGGCGGAACTCGAAGAAGCTGCAGAAGCATCACTGTCGAGAGTTCGCGCAGCTTTCTTGGTCGGCATTGGACCCCCCTGGCGGCGCCTCCCGCGACGCCCCAAGCGAGCTCCGCGCGCCAGTGCGTGGGAAAGAGCGCCGATCCAAGAACTCGAAACGGACCTTCGGCAGTTTCTTCGAAGAAGAGAATACACAAACTGTTGGCGCTCCGCGCGGATCTCTTGGATCCGCGCCTGGGCCCCCCTCCCTCGTCGCGCGCGCGCTATTCTTCTTCTAAAGAGCGCTCTCAGAGCGTTCGGGAGCGCCCTGAGAAGGCCGTGACGCACGATACATCCTCCAGAGCCGTCGAATCCGGGAGATTCTCGATCTATCCTTCCCGTTTTGTTCCTCGTCCTGGCTCCGACTTATGAAATTGAACGCCCCTGAGAGGGCAGACACCGCCGCCCCACCATTTTTGGATCCTGGAGCCTCTGTGGGAGCGGCGGCCGCTCCGCGCGCGCGAATAGGAGATGTTCTGGTGCTGGTGCTCGCGCTTCCGCTTGGAGGCCTCGTGGGGCTCTATGGAGAGGACGTTGGGCTCCTCAGCGAGCTCTCTGTCGTATGACCCTGAGCACAGGACGGCCGCAGAGAGGCTGGAGGAACTGAAACCAGCGAGCTCTGTGTCGTATGACCCTGAGGCCAGGACGGCTGCAGAGAGGCTTGAATCAGAAAGCGCGCCGAGAAGTGTCTTTCACATGACCCTGAGGCTAGGACGGCTGCAGAGAGGGTGGAGAAGCTCAAACAAACCGTCGCGTTCGTCCCAGGGGGACCTCTGGAGGCGCCCAAAAGAGCCGAAATGGGTCAAGTGCGGCGACTTGGCGTGAACGATGAAATCAGGAAGGAGAAAACAGCAGTCGGGGTTTGTTTGCGGCTCCTGGAAGAGCCCCTGAAGCCCGTTTCTTTATTGCTTGGGGCATGACGGGCGTCATGGCCCCCGCTCCCCCCCCCCTGTGACGTAACGCTCCCCCCCCCCCAGTGCGCTCCAAGCACTGCCGCCGTGCGCATTGGGATCCGCGTAGGTGTCCGCGTAGGAATCCGCATAGGTGTCTGGTCCGCAGGCGTCGTCGTCGTCGTCGTCGTCGTCGTCCGTCGTCGTCGCTCGTTTTTCGTCGCTCGTCGCTCATCGTCGCCGTGCGCGCGGATGCGGCTGGAGCCTGATTTTAAGTCCGGGCCGATGACGGCAATCATCTGGGGGGGAGGGGGTCGATGACGTCACGTTTCGCGCCGGCGGCGTCTGGGAATGCTTAGGAGGGTAGCACGAACATGTAGGTGGCGATATGCACCACAACGCCTGTGTACATCACAGTGCCCGCGTGCACCACAGCGCCTGTGTACACCACACCGCCGATGTACACCACAGCAGCCGCGTGCAACACAGCGTCAGTTTGTGCCACCGTGCCTGCGGGCACAGCAGCTCCTGTGTACACCACAGCGCTTCCGTACACCACATCAGCCGTGCGCAACACAGCACCAGTGTGCACCACAATGCCTGCGTGCATTGCAGTGCCTGTGTACGCCACGGCGCCTGTGTGCACCACATCAGACGTGTGCAACACAGCACCATTGTTGTGTATAGAATCAGAAAGAATCCTTGTGACAACAAGGAGCGCGTGTGGATTCCAGAGAGAACAATGGAAAACAAATCCTCATGGACGAAGGAGCGCCGCTGGAATCTACGAGTCCCCCCAGAGGCCGCCCGCATCACCCTAACTCCCATTTGCGTCGAGGAGGCTCCAGCTAAACTGGCCGTCCGAGAACCAAGTGGACCGATTCAATCGACCATTCTGCGGTGCACGCTCAGATGCGCACGTGCGTTGTGACGCCAAGCCGCACGACAGGGGGTAAGAAGGAGGAAAAGGAGGACGAGGAGGAGGAGGAGGAGGTGGAGGAGGAGGGAGGGGGGAAAAACGTCGCATTCGATTATCAGAACTTTCCTGGCGTGGCGTTTAGTTGTCCGCAGCAGATCCTGACGTACATGCTCCTTCTACCTGTCCTATGCACGCAGGCACTGGTGTACACCAGCGCTGCGTTGCACGCGGATGCTGTGGTGTAGACAGGCGCTGTGGCGTGCACAGGCGCTGCGGTGCACGCAAGCACAGTGGTGTACACAGGCGTTGTGTTGCACATGGCTGCTGCGGTGTATGTACACCGGCGCTGTAGTGTTCGCAAGTATTGTGGTCTACACGGGCGGTGCGTTGCACGCGGGTGTTGCGGTGTACGCAGGCGCTATGGTGCACACGCGCGTTGTGGTGCACGCGAGCGTTGTGGTGCACACAGGCGCAATGGGCAGATCGCCACTTACATGCTGCTCGCGTCGTCGTCGTCGCTCGTCGCTCGTAGCGTCGTGCGCGCGGGCGCGGCTGTGGTGCCGGAGCCACACGGCGGGGGGGGCGTCACGTCATACCCCCCCTGCCCTCCCCCCCCCTCCATGACGCCCGTCATCGCCGAACATAAGAAAACGCGTTTCTGGAGGCTCTGAGGGGGCGCCCCAGATGGGCGAAATTTGGTGCCAAAAATGCCGCCAGACGGCCCAAGAGGGGTCCGAGATGCTTTCAGGACAGTCGTAGAGATCATGCCCGGGATCTAAGATGGCCGCAAGAGCCAGCGGAGATGCACGAGAGTTCCGAGAGAGGCGCAAGGAAAAGTGCGAGAAGGCCAACAGACACACACACACACACAAGCCGCACATCCAGCAGGACGCGTTGGCACGACAACCGTTTAAGGCCGCCGAGAGTAATTCTCACACTGCAACGCAGATACGCGTTGGGAGAAAAAGAAGTGGAGGAGAGAAGACAAAAACGATGGGACTGTATAGCAGAGGGGTGTTCAGATCTGTCGGCACAGTTTGTATACCTCTGAAGTCCATTGCTCTCCTAGGTGCTTTACTGTGTTTTTTGCTTGTTGCGGTGTTCTGGTGTGTGTGTGGCCCGAAAAGAGGCGGAGAGGCATCTGGAGCTGCTCGAAGTGGCCTGAAGGAGGGTGACAATGAGCCCAGGAGAGCGTCGGGAGGCCCGAAAAGCTGGCCCAGCGGGCTCCTTTGAGAGGTCTCTGGGAGCGCCTGGCGGCGCCTGGAAGGCTGGCACCAAGTCGGGCAGGAGGAACGGTTCCAACGAGTGCAACAAAAATAGTCTGGGGGTGATGTTTTGAAAGCCTCTCGAGCATCTGGGGCATTTTTGGGGTATTCTTCACTTTTCCTCCCGAACCCCCTGTAGGGGAGTCCTGGGATTTGTGTGTCTCCTCCTCCTCCCTCTCCTCCTCCTCCTCCTCCTCCTCCTCCTCCTCCTCCTCCTCCTCCTCCTCCTCCTCCTCGTCGTCTGTGTATCCTGGGGCCCCCTGAACTGCTTGGAAGCTCTCCTATAATTAGGGAGCCCCGCGCCGGCCCGTGGGGCCGGGCGGACAGGCCCGACGTCCGGCCAGCACGCGAAACGGGGGGCCGTCTTCGGACGGATTCATGGGCGGCCAGCAGGCGCCCCGCGCCGCCGGCCCGGGGCCCCCCCCAGGGCCGGCGGCATGCTAGCGAGGCGCGGGGAGGGCCCCGGGAGGGGTTGCGAGGGCAGGGGGCAGCCCCGACGCACCAGATTTCGGCGGACCACATCAAGAATGTAAATAATAAGCATCTCTGGTGGGCTTCGTGGGCCCTGGAAACGACAGGGCCGCTTTTTGTCCCCATATCCTGAGGTGGGGTTCTTGTTATGACTTGGACGCCTCCTGCTGCCTCCCTCCTCCTCCTCCTCATTTTTCTCCTCCCCTCCTCCTCTGTCCCCGTACTCAGACCTACTCATACTCAGACTTGCTCATACTCAGACTTACTCATACTCAGACCTACTCATACTCAGACTTACTCATACCCAGACTTACACATACACAGTATTACTCAGATTCAGACTTACTCATACCCAGACGTACACATACACAGACTTTCTCATACACAGACCTACTCATACCCAGACTTACTCATACACAGACTTACTCATACACAGACTTACTCATACTCAGGCATACTCATATTCAGACCTACTCATACTCAGACTTACTCAACACATATCAGATTTGAAGGATGTCTCAAGCGGGGCGCTGGTTTCAGCACCCCTAAGGGGAGCCGCCAGGGGTGTTTGCACGGGCTCGTTCGCGGCCATTTCGTGGGGATGTCTCAGGCGGTTTGCTTGTTTCTGGGCTCGACACCCTTCGCTTGGAGAGCTGATTGTGAGGATGTCTCAGGCGGTGCGCTGGTTTCAGCACCCCTAAGGGGAGCCGCCAGGGGTGGTTGCACGGGCTCGTTCGCGGCGATGTCTCAGGCGGTTTGCTTGTTTCTGGGCTCGACATCCTTCGCTTGCAGAGCGGATTGCGAGGATGTCTCACGCGGGGCGCTGGTTTCAGCACCCCTAAGGGGAGCCGCCAAGGGTGTTTGCACGGGCTCGTTCGCGGCCATGTTGTGGGGACGTCTCAGGCG